AGGTCTCAGCCTTGGGTACTAGCCACCACTGAACCCTTGCAGCTGGTGGCCTAGCACATTCTGCTGAAACTTTGTGTAGCTTGTATTTGTACTGCTATTATCTTTGCCATAGGCTGTTGCTATATCTTATAAAATTTTAAGAAGAAATAAAACAGTCACTGTGCCCTTTTGAACCCAAGATTGAAGGATTTCAAAGTGCAATGGAGTTATTCTGGAAATGATGAGCCATGTTTTTTGTTTCTTGTCTGACATGGAATACTAACACTGAGCATTACAACCCTTTCAAAATTCCCAAACCACACTTGGATAAGGGTAATTCTGGTGTACCACAGCCTTGTGTGTCTCTTCCAGTGGAATGCCACTCTGGAAGCTTCCTGCAAGAATGAACAGTTAAGGAATGATTACAGTTGCACCTGTCCTAGGGGGAAAAAAAATAAAAATAAAATAAAAACAGTTAGGTATGAATAGAGAAGACCCTGAAGAAGACATGATCAAGGGATATGGAATAAGCTGAAAACTTCCCAGACCCTTTCTGGTTTCTTTTTTGAGTTATACATTTCTGAGGATGGCAGTTCCCTTTTGCATTAGCTATCAGTGGTGGCTGGGGGGCAGAAAGGGAAGAGGAGATATTTTCATCAATCAGCCTGACTTTGGAAGGGGAAGGGGAGGGGCAGTGACACAAGTTTTCTTCTCTCTGCATTTGCTAAGGCCTGTTTTTCTTTCTCTTGGAGGGCTCTCTGGTGTCTGCAACGATGGGCTCCCATCAGCAGAAGGGCGACGGACAAGGGATCTCTGAGCAGTCTGGTGGATGCCATGGCGGTGGTGGAGGAGGAAGTTCATGCCATGGTGGTGGTGGAGGAGGAAGTTCATGCCATGGTGGTGGTGGAGGAGGATCCTGCCACTCCAGTGGGGGTGGAGGCTCTATAGGATACCAGACCCAGGGATCGTCCTGCCACAGTGGAGGAAGTGGTGGTGGTGCTATCTACCAGACCCACATATCATCATCTTCCTTTGGAGGAGGAGGAGGAGGAGGAGGAGGATCTTCAGGCCACCAGAGCCAAGGATCCATCGGCGGTGGAAGTGGTGGTGGCGGTGGGTCAGGCCACCAGGGACAGGAACCCATCTGCATTATTGGAGGAGGCGGCGGTGGCAGTGGTGGAGGTGGAGGAGGTTACAGCCACCAAAGCCAAGGCTCCATCTGCATTGGAGGTGGCAGCATGGGTGGAGGAGGTGGAGGTGGTTCTGGCCACCAGGGCCAGGGATCCATCTGCATTATTGGTGGAGGAGGAGGTGGTTCTGGCCACCAGAGTCAGGGACCCATCTGCATTGGTGGAGGTGGAGGAGGAGGAGGAGGAGGTGGTGGTTCTGGACACCAGAGCCAAGGACCAATCTGCATTGGTGGAGGAGGAGGAAAAGGAGGTGGAGGAGGAGGAGGTGGTGGTTCTGGTCACCAGGGCCAAGGATCCATCTGCATTATTGGTGGAGGTGGAGGAGGAGGAGGTGGAGGAGGAGGTGGAAAAGGAGGTGGAGGAGGAGGAGGTGGTGGTTCTGGTCACCAGGGCCAGGGATCCATCTGCATTATTGGTGGAGGTGGAGGAGGAGGAGGTGGAGGAGGAGGAGGAGGTGGTTCTGGCCACCAGGGCCAAGGACCCATCTGCATTGGTGGAGGAGGAGGAGGAAAAGGAGGAGGTGGTGGTTCTAGCCACCAAGGCCAAGGACCTGTCTGCATTATTGGTGGAGGTGGAGGAGGTGGAGGTGGAGGTGGAGGAGGTGGTTCTGGCCACCAGAGCCAAGGACCCATCTGCATTATTGGTGGAGGAGGAGGCGGAGGTGGTTCTGGCCACCAGGGCCAAGGACCCATCTGCATAAGTGGAGGAGGAGGAGGAGGAGGAGGAGGAGGTGGAGGAGGTGGTTCTGGCCACCAAGGCCAAGGACCAATCTGCATTATTGGTGGAGGTGGAGGAGGAGGTGGAGGAGGTGGTTCCGGCCACCAGAGCCAAGGACCCATCTGCATTGGTGGAGGAGGAGGAGGAGGCGGAGGAGGTGGTTCTGGCCACCAAGGCCAAGGACCTGTCTGCATTATTGGTGGAGGTGGTGGAGGAGGAGGAGGAGGTGGAGGTGGTGGTTCTGGCCACCAAGGCCAAATACCCGTCTGCATTATTGGTGGAGGTGGAGGAGGAGGAGGAGGAGGTGGTTCTGGCCACCAGGGCCAAGGACCCATCTGCATTGGTGGAGGAGGAGGAGGAGGTGGAGGAGGTGGAGGAGGTGGGTCTGGCCACCAAGGCCAAGGACCTGTCTGCATTATTGGTGGAGGTGGAGGTGGAGGAGGTGGTTCTGGCCACCAGAGTCAGGGACCCATCTGCATAGGTGGAGGAGGAGGAGGAGGAGGTGGTTCTGGCCACCAAGGCCAAGGACCCATCTGCATTATTGGTGGAGGTGGAGGTGGTGGAGGAGGAGGAGGTGGTTCTGGCCACCAGGGCCAAGGATCCATCTGTATTATTGGAGGAGGTGGTTCTGGCCAGAGCCAGGGTTCCTCTTCTTTTGGAGGAGGTGGTGGTGGAGGTGGTTCATCGAGCTCTGGGGGTATGTCCATTCAGCAGCAAACCCAACCAATCTCCTGGCCACCACAGACTAAACATAAGTAGTGGCCTTGTAACAAGAAAGCCCAGAATATAAACGTCACATTTATTTCTTTCTCTATTAAATGTAAGAATACTCGTGTGGTTCCTTCTTCCTCTTCATTGGAATATTTCTCTTCACCTCTCCAGCTGACCAGAACCTCTGGTGGTGTGTATCAGTAACTTGCACCTTCATGCAGGTTGTTTGATATGTCCATTTTCTGCCTCAACTTTCTAACACTTGCACAAGATAATAAAACTTGCCACTCTAGAGAGCTTCAGTGTCTAAGTGGTTGGATTTTGTTTTACACCATGTATTTTGCATTATTTCCCTTATGATAATTTTCTTCTGAGGTGATGTTGTTGTAATAAAACTCCAGAGTACAAGTGCATTGAAAACCCACTGTAAAAGAAATCTTGGATTCTGTAAATATTTCAGGTCATCTTTTAATGTCGATTGCTACACCTGACCCTGACCCATCAGACAAGGTCCCACAAAGTTAAATATTGCAAGCAGTCTCTCTACCTCACCCAGATACCATGAAATGCCAGAGGAAGGTGTAGATAAGTTAGGAGAGGAAAGATGCAAAAACTCTTATCCTGTAGCACAAAGAATTGCAAGGCAGCATTACAGGTGTGAGGCTGAGCCCCTTGCACGTGCACAGTGAAGGAGCTCTCGGTGCTCACAGATGCACCAAGCAGCTGCTGAGAGAGAAAGGGGGGGTCTGTCAAACTCCAGCTCCAGCTCTGACCCCTGGTGCAGCCAGCAGCAGGGGCGGGACTGCAGGCAGCCCCTCCAAGGGTGGAGTTTGTTGAGCCTGGAGCAAGTAGGGAGCTCCTCATTCATGCGGGAGTAAAACATCGCTCCAGGTATGAGTCTTCAGTGGGAGTTTCCCTATGGGAAGTGCTTTCTTTGATGTGGTATATTCTGGCAATTAGCAGTTGCAATATGGAATGGAAATAAACAGTAACAATTCTTCTGGCAGGCAGCTCAGCCTCTCCACTCCCATTTACCATTACTTCGAACAGGCTGGCAAGTTAACGTTTAAAAGAAAAATAGCCCTTGAGGGTAAATATCAGAGCGAGAGGTGCTGGGGAGCCGAGGTGACAGCGAAGTGTCCCTGCTGCTGTCCCATCTTCAGCCCCAGCACCCAACTCGGCCACGACAGCCCAGGCTGGCACAGGAGTACCCCATCCCCTGCCTGCCCCATCCAGGGGATCCAGCCTGCACCAATCAGCACCCAGAGCATCCAGCCTGCAGCAATCAGAACCCAGGGCACCCAGCTTTCACCAATCAGGATGTGAGGAGTCCAGCCAGCTGCACCAATGGGCAGGCAGGGACTGAAGCCAGGACCCCCGCCCCAAGCACCTGGCTGGATGTCTTCACCCCACCTGCAAGGGGCAGCGTCCCCTCCCACAAGGGACATCACAATGCAGGCAGGACGGGCGTGCTGGGGTAGTCCAGTCATGGGGAACCTTCTGCCCCCCTCTGCGGCCCCATGGCTGCAGTCCTACCCAATGCAGCTCTCTCCTTTCCCTTGGGCATCTCCATATCCCATCACATTCAATAAACACACTGTCATTTCAGCTGCCACCCACCACCCCATCAGCCTCTCCTAGCATGGGTGGGGGGCTCTAGCTGCAGCCCCACAGCCCCAGCCTTCGCCCTCAACCACGGGGCAGAGCTCACACGATATCCACAGCCAGACTTCAAGTAGCCTAGGAAGTGATGCACCAGAGAGGCATCGATCTGATTCAATGACTCAGGACAAGTGGGCTGATGGAGAACAGTTTGTTTTGTAAATCCACCCATCGCCATTCCTCTGGATGCCTCACATCCCAATTAGGAAAACTAGAAACGGTATAAAGGTTGCAGAGTCTCCCAGGTGCTCCATTCGCTCAGCTTTGCTCTGCTCTCCGTGTTGCCAGAACAGGGAAGGGTAAGTCCATTTCTGCTGAAGGGAGCAATGCTTCTCGAATATTTGTGCTTACAAAACAGAAATGTTTTGGTGGAGTATGCCTGATGGGTGGTGGCTTGAAGGTCAGGAAGGTTGCTTTGGTGAATTCAAGCTTTTTGTGGATATCACCAGAAGCAGGATCATCCCATGATACTGGAAATAGTGTTCCAGGAGGATAGAGATCTAGATGGAATATCTATGAGATAAAAGACTCTAAATTAACAGCTGATTAGCTATCTGGTCTCTACTGTCAGCAAAAAGCTGTATGTGTGATTGGGATGGATGGATAACAAAGTACATAAAGAAAAGGGCATTTGGTGACTCCAGAGGCTCTGCTTAAAGTGGCACACTGGTGCTTCTGCCTGGGGTCCGTGTCAGCAGTGGCTTCCTTTGGGTAACAAGCATGCTCTTCCTTGCAGAGTTGCTATACAAAGATGTGCTCCCGACAGAGCTCTGGAGGCTGCCATGAGACATCGTCCCAGTCCGGCGGGTGCCACAGTGGGGGCTCGTGCTGCCACGGGGGCAGCTCCTCCAGCTACCAGGCACAGGGCTCCTCTTGCTGTGGAGGCAGCAGTGGGGGCTCTGCCCAGGTCATTGTGAGCTCCGGCAGTGGAGGAGGGGGATCCTGCTGTGGTGGAGGCTCCTCTGGTTATGGCATGGGAGGAGGGTACAGCAGCGGTGGCTCTTCAGGATCAAAGAGCATTATTGGAGGTGGAGGCAGTGGAGGGTCCTCTGGGTGCTGCGGTGGAGGATCCAGCAGTGGTGGGTCATCAGGAGGCAAGATCATAATTGTCGGAGGTGGAAGCAGCAGCGGTGGATCCTCTGGGTGTTGTGGTGGAGGCTCCTCAGGCTCTGGCATGGGAGGAGGATACAGTGGTGGCTCTTCAGGATCAAAGAGCATTATTGGAGGTGGAGGCAGTGGAGGGTCCTCCGGATGCTGTGGTGGAGGCTCCTCTAGCTATGGCATGGGAGGAGGGTACAGCAGCGGTGGCTCTTCGGGATCAAAGAGCATTATTGGAGGTGGAGGCAGTGGAGGGTCCTCTGGGTGTTGCGGTGGTGGATCCAGCAGCGGAGGGTCTTCGGGTGGCAAAATCATAGTTGTAGGAGGTGGAAGCAGCAGTGGTGGATCCTCTGGGTGCTGTGGTGGGGGCTCCTCAGGCTACGGCATGGGAGGAGGATACAGCAGCGGTGGATCAAAGAGCATTATCGGAGGTGGAGGCAGTGGTGGTTCCTCTGGGTGCTGCGGTGGAGGGTCCAGCAGTGGTGGCTCCTCAGGAGGCAAGATCATAATTGTCGGAGGTGGAAGCAGCAGCGGTGGATCCTCTGGGTGCTGCGGTGGGGGCTCCTCAGGCTACGGCATGGGAGGAGGATACAGCAGCAGCAGTGGAGGATCTGGCCAGAAGATCGTTGTGAGCTCCGGAGGTGGAGGAGGTGGCTCCTCTGGATGCTGCTGCAGTGGGGGCTCCAGTGGGGGCAGTGGCGGTTCCTCAGGCCACACAATCATCATCGGCTCCGGCGGCGGCAGTGGCGGTTCCTCCCAGGCCATGCAGCAAAAGTGCCCCATTGTCATTCCCAGCACCCAGGGCCATCAGAGCAAGCAGGCCTGTCCCTGGCCCCCCAGCCACAAGTAACAGCCCCGGCAGCTCAGTGCTCAGCACCAACAGCCATGCCTCTGTCTTACAAGCTTGCTCATTTCCTTCCAGCGTGTCCTCATCTCTTCTCTTCCCCTCATGTACCATCACTATGCTGTGAACTCCCAGAAGACTTTTGTCACCCTTCATTGTAACGTAAAATAATAAAAAAAAATACTGCATTTAAAAAGAACTGGTTTTGCAAAGTTGCTTTTATCCTTTGACAGTTCCCCGTTTGCGTTCAGATAGTGAATAATGCATCAAACACATTCAGCTGAGAAATCTGCCTGCAGTGCCAGAACAGATGCATGTTAACAGGTCTTGCTTGAGAGAGATCTTGTTGCTTAAGGAGAGTTTGGTGTCGGTCTTGCTAATAGTGCTCACCAAGGCTGTAACTTAACCTGAGGAAGAGCTCCATCTCTGTTTCCCCTTCCCAGATGAGGAAGCCAAGCACAAGCTCTGGGTTTTGCTGCTGGGATTTCAGTGCAGGCAGCAGCATCCTTTGGAAATACTCAGCCAGGGTTTTATGTTCTCCATTTCTTGAGTTTTATCACAAGGAAACCACGCATGTTGGTAGACAACATACAGCAGCATTTGTGCCTAAGTCAGACATCTTCGGAATAGATGTAATTCGGTCTTGTGTTCAGTAAATTTTATGCTAAAGGTTTCTGTGTCCATCTCCCACACACAGCTGATAGGCAGGTAACAACGTTAGGCATATAAGGGTAATTTTCCAGAGGTAATCAACAGTCATGCAAATGCTTGAAGGTTTACAACTGATCAGATTGTGTGTGCAGAAAAATTGGAGAGCTCCCCTTATGCCAGTGGTATCTTCATTGTGACCAATGCCATCCAGGTCAGCATTGCCATGTGTGAAGAAAGCAGCTGGGGAAATGGACGGCAGGACCTGGCCAAGCTTCTTCTCTCTCTCCACCAACACACACCAAGGCACTGTCCCTTGAGGTGTTTGCAGTGCCACGACTGAAGGATAACAAAACCTTCCTGCCTGTCCTGAGCACAATGAGTCCACCACACAGAAAAGAACCCAGACATGCCTGTGGTTGTTTTACCTTGCTGGGCAGCTGAACTCTGCCACAACCGCTCTCTCACTCCCCCTCCCCTCCCCCCAGAAGAGGAGTGGAAGAAGAAAAGGAGAGAATTCATGGGTTGAGATAAGGATGATTTAATTAAAGAGAAAAGTATTATTAAGGGAAAAATAATTATAATTAATTATATAATTTAACTAAGAGAAAGGGGGAAAAGTGGAAAGGGATAAATAAATCAATAAATAAATAAACAAGCAAAGGCCATGTGTAAGTGCAGAGGAAAGAAATTACTCTCTGCTTCCCACCAACGAGCAATGCTTGGCCACGTCCCTGAACGCACATAGCCGCTGTTCAGGAGGACAGACGTTTTCACAACAAGAGCCCACTCCTCCCCTCTTCTTCCTCTTTCCACCTTTTATTGCTCAGTGTGACACCACCTGGTATGGAATATCCCTATGGTTGGTTTTGGTCGGCTGCCCTGGTGATGTTCCTTCCTCCTCTCCCACCCACCCCCAATCTGCTGGCTCTGAGGGGTTGGAGGAGTCCTGATGTTGTGCCAGAACTGCTCAGCAGCAGACACAACACTGGTATGATACCAGTGCTGTTCTAGCTACACGTGCAGAGCACAGCCCTGTACAGGCTGCTGCCAGGAAAGTTAACTCCATCCCAGCCAGACCCAGACACGGCAAAGCAGGGTGGCCCAAATTTGTGTCAGTCTCCCCATTAAGCATTTTGCATCCCACCTGGCCTTTACCCAACATATGTATCATAACAGCTCTTTAACCAGAGGGGTTTGATGGGCACCCATCCTGCAGCAGCGGTTCCAGCCACACTGTTCCTCCACATGGGCTGAGCAGCACACATGTGCATGTGTCACAGGCTCCATGTTTCCAGCTGTTGCACAGGGTCTGTGTGCACACAGGTGGCACAGTGCTTGCAGGAGCACTTCTTGCCACCCCTGCCAAAAGCCTCCACAGCTTTCCCTCGCAGCCTGGGTCCTGATGAGCCACAAATCCTGGATGCCCCTCTGTGCAAGTCCCTACAAGTTAAATCCAGGGATCAAGGTGTTGTGATGCTCCATAGCGTGACACCCACACTTCACGGCTGAGAGCCAAAGTTGCTGTGAGACCTTAGCTTTCCCTTCGGTGACTGGAGCAGGGCTTAAGCTACTGGAGGGAGTCCAAAGCAAAATGCAAGAAACCCCCTGCACTCCCTTGCCTGGAGACAAGGCTGATGGTCCTGTCCCCATGCCACCAGAGCTGCATGTGTGCCCAAAACTATGTTCATCATGAAAGGGCTGGGCAACCTGTTGCCACCGTCATGCATCCTCTCAGCTAAAACCACCCAATTATACCTTCCTCTACTCCGTCTCTGTCAGGGTGGATGCTGCTGTCAGCCTCCAAGCATGCATGACGCAGTGGAAGGATGAAGGTGCTGCAAAGCATGGCAGCCCGCGCTGCAGTTTACATGCTGACAAAGTGTCATTCTCCAGAAAAGCACATTTCACAGCAAAACATACAGATGCCCTCCTAACCTCAGCTGCAGGGGGGCTGTCCAGCAAAGCAACACCTCCAGAAGATCACCAGAGACAGAGGAAACACTCAGTGTGCTGTGCATTTCCAAGGGTAGGGTCTTGATGACCTTCAAATGAGCTTTTGCAGAAGGAAATATTTCAAGACTTTACCGGCCCTGATCACTCAGCCCAGTGATCAGGGCACCTGGGAAGCCGGAGCTGAGCACAGACCTCCCCCAGGCCCCTCAGGACTCTGCTCCAGCACATCCTTTGCCCTCATCCTTCCACCTAGCCCTGCCTTGCTGCAGCCCCCATCCCTTAGCATCTGCTCTGCCTCCACTCTCTGATGAGCACCCAAGAGGCTGCAGACAAGGGGAAAGGAGTAGGGAGCCCCCTCTTTGTCCTGGGGGTCAGACCCCCAGGAGATATTGACCCTCAACATATCAGAGCAAGGCTCCCGGAAGTTAATCATTAACTAAAAATAGCAACTATGGTTCAAAACGTAATTGGTACATCATTGATCACCTCTGTATCACCTATCTGCAGCAAGTGAGTCAAGGGAGGCAGGTAAAGCCAGGCTCGGTAAATAAATCTATCAGCATTCCTTAGGGTGTCTCACTTCCCTTAAGAGCCCCGTTGGTTCGATATAAAAGCTAACGTATCCGACAGCTCCTCATTCGCCTACCTCCAAGCCTTGCACGCGTTTCCAGCTGCACAGAAGGTAAGCCTCTTGACAAGGGAACTTTCCCAATCCTTTCTCAGAGAGGTCGCTCTACCTGCGGTCTTGGAGCATGCTTTGAAATGGGGAACCGTGCCAGCTCGACTTCAGTTCTACAAAACCTTTCTGGTGTGCCTGCAGGACTGCCTCCCTTACAGAAGGGGCTGTACCTGGCACCCTCAGGATACTCAGCCATGGCCAGGTTTTTGATAACCACAGGTTTTAGCAGCTTATAAATCCAGAAGGATTTCCAGTGGGACTATGCTTTTCAAAGAATGCCGGCTCTGAGCTTGTCTGAGCAAGCACGCAAATCTCTGGGGATGTTCTCCATGTTCCTGCGTGCGGCATTTTTCTGTACATGGTGTGATCAGAGGGACAGACCATAAGAGGTTATCAGTGCAGGTCTTCCCTGCTGTCTCTCAAAGGAGAGGGGATTTATGAAGCTGACATTGAAATAGGACTGGATAAGATGAGGCAGATGGGATAATGCAAGAATTTGGGTTTGCCATGATACCTCAGCAGCATCTCTGAGGAATTCCTGAATAACAGCTCTGTTCTTTGCAGGGTCGCTGCTCAAAGATGTGCTCCCGACAGAGCTCCGGAGGCTGCCATGAGACGTCCTCCCAGTCCAGCGGGTGCCACAGTGGGGGCTCGTGCTGCCACGGGGGCAGCTCCTCCAGCTACCAGGCACAGGGCTCCTCTTGCTGTGGAGGCAGCAGTGGGGGCTCTCCCCAGGTCATTGTGAGCTCCGGCAGTGGAGGAGGGGGATCCTGCTGTGGTGGAGGCTCCTCAGGCTATGGCATGGGAGGAGGGTACAGCAGCGGTGGCTCTTCGGGATCAAAGAGCATTATTGGAGGTGGAGGCAGCGGAGGGTCCTCTGGGTGCTGCGGTGGAGGATCCAGCAGTGGTGGGTCATCAGGAGGCAAGATCATAATTGTTGGAGGTGGAAGCAGCAGCGGTGGATCCTCTGGGTGTTGCGGTGGAGGCTCCTCAGGCTCTGGCATGGGAGGAGGATACAGCAGTGGTGGATCTTCAGGATCAAAGAGCATTATTGGAGGTGGAGGCAGTGGAGGGTCCTCCGGATGCTGTGGTGGAGGCTCCTCTAGCTATGGCATGGGAGGAGGGTACAGCAGCGGTGGCTCTTCAGGATCAAAGAGCATTATTGGAGGTGGAAGCAGTGGAGGGTCCTCTGGGTGCTGCGGTGGAGGCTCCTCTAGCTATGGCATGGGAGGAGGGTACAGCAGCGGTGGCTCTTCAGGATCAAAGAGCATTATTGGAGGTGGAAGCAGTGGAGGGTCCTCTGGGTGCTGCGGTGGAGGATCCAGCAGTGGTGGGTCATCAGGAGGCAAGATCATAATTGTCGGAGGTGGAAGCAGCAGCAGTGGATCCTCTGGGTGTTGCGGTGGAGGCTCCTCAGGCTCTGGCATGGGAGGAGGATACAGCAGTGGTGGCTCTTCAGGATCAAAGAGCATTATTGGAGGTGGAGGCAGTGGAGGGTCCTCCGGATGCTGTGGTGGAGGCTCCTCTAGCTATGGCATGGGAGGAGGATACAGCAGTGGTGGCTCTTCGGGATCAAAGAGCATTATTGGAGGTGGAGGCAGTGGAGGGTCCTCTGGTTGTTGCGGTGGTGGATCCAGCAGCGGAGGGTCTTCGGGTGGCAAAATCATAGTTGTCGGAGGTGGAAGCAGCAGTGGTGGTTCCTCTGGGTGCTGTGGTGGGGGCTCCTCAGGCTACGGCATGGGAGGAGGGTACAGCAGCGGTGGATCAAAGAGCATTATTGGAGGTGGAGGCAGTGGTGGTTCCTCTGGGTGCTGCGGTGGAGGGTCCAGCAGTGGTGGCTCTTCAGGAGGCAAGATCATAATTGTTGGAGGTGGAAGCAGCAGCGGTGGATCCTCTGGGTGCTGCGGTGGGGGCTCCTCAGGCTACGGCATGGGAGGAGGATACAGCAGCAGCAGTGGAGGATCTGGCCAGAAGATCGTTGTGAGCTCCGGAGGTGGAGGAGGTGGCTCCTCTGGATGCTGCTGCAGTGGGGGCTCCAGTGGGGGCAGTGGCGGTTCCTCCCAGGCCATGCAGCAGAAATGCCCCATTGTCATTCCCTGCACCCAGGGCCATCAGAGCAAGCAGGCCTGTCCCTGGCCCCCCAGCCACAAGTAACAGCCCCGGCAGCTCAGTTCTCAGCACCAACAGCCCCGCCTCTGCCACAGCACTGCTTTCCCTCCCAGGCCTGGCTGTTTGCCAGCCTCCTCTCAGCGTGTCTTCTTCTCCTCTCATCCCTTGGTGCTGCCTCCCCGTGCTGTGAACTCCAGGATCATCAGCCTTTTGCCCTGCTGCTGGCATTGGGACATCTTTGATCAGACACCTGCTTTTTCAAAGATCATGTGTAAAGCTAATAAATGTAATCATTTCACAAAGCAGACTTAGTTTGCAGTTTCTTATTTCTTGTATTCTCACCCAGCTCCTCACTTTCTTGGCAGCTAGGATAATATCTGAGGAGCCATATGCCACCTCTCTGTGGAGGAGATGTTCGGTTCAGCAGTTCTTTGCCACAAAGTGAGCACTAAAGCCACCCATCTCACAGCCCAGGCCACTGTTGCACCTTTTGTTTCCCCTAGGCTCCAAAACAGAGCAACAGCAATGCCTAAAACACCAAGCATGCACATCTCCCTGTGTCCCTGCAACACCTCTGTAGGGTGCTTCCCCCTCCCAGCCATCCCAGACCCTAGCCTCCCCCCCAGGACTGCAGAATGTGAGGATGCTCCCAGAGCAATGCAGAGCTGTGGGAGGATGCGGCTGAGCTCCTCAGGTTTGCTCCTGAAGTTCAAACACCAGGGATGAGCCATGCTAGCAGCTGTCACCACCCAGAGTGGCTGATAATTCCATGCCAATGTCCATGTCTTTGCTCTTCCCCATTGCTCCCAAAGCTCAGAGGGGTTCTGTGCAGAGGTGGGCCTCTGTGCTGGCTGAGCCAGCCCTGGGCCAGGCAGAAGGAAATAAAGCCAGCAGCACATCCCTTAGGCCACTGAACACACCGCAGCACGCCTCCAGGCCTTAATCCCTCCTTGCCCAAGCTCTGGAAACCTTCTACTAAATGCAATACCGAGCACAGCAGCACCACCCCTTTGCTCTGCTTACTGCCCGGTAGATTTGGCCTTGAGCCAAAGCTGGTACTCAGCGTCCCCAAGGGGAAATACCTTGGGGCTGAGCAGACTCTTGCCAGAAAGAGCCAAGCTGGGGCACCAAGGGTCAGGTAGCACCACCGGCACGGCCCCCGCACAGCCCCCTGAGGCCAGACAGAGCAGCCTCCCTGGAGGCCCCAGTACTCGGTGGTCTTCCCAAACCAGAGAAAGGGCACAGACGGGTGAACGCAGAAGGAAGGCAGCTGGTGGGTTACTCCTTCATTTGAAGGGTAATCCTGCCACAGAGGATTTAAGTGTTAGGACATTTACACCTTTGCAATTCTCTCCAGGGTCCCTAAGCTTTCCCAGAGTATCTGTAGCATCTTCACCAAATACCCAAGCTGGCCGCTTTGCTTTGGACAAGCTCCTGGTTCAGAAAATTCCCCTACAGAACCACCAGTGAGATGTTGGAGGGTGCTGGGTGCAGCCTTGGATGAAAACATCCCCATGCCTTCCCCTCTCTGAGTACCCCTTTATCACATCCGCCTTGGCAGTGATGCTGAAGCTGGACCCAGGCACCACCCCCCTCTGCCCCACACTCACCAAATTCTCATTCTCAGCATTTCCCTGCGCCCACGCTGCCACCCACCTCCCCCAGTGTTTCTGCCTCGCTGGGGACAGGAGCCATTCTCCTCGCTTGGGGCAAGAGCACAGGAATAGGGTCATTAAGCAGAAAATAGGATCATTAAGCAGAAGTAGCAATTACCGCCGCATGCAGCACAGTGAGCAGTGCGAGGGAAAGATATTGATCAGTTGTCATGAGTCAAAGCAAACACTGAAATCAGTGTTTGATTGGTAAATAAATCCTTGCCATTCCTTAGGGTGTCTCACTTCCCATATATGCTAAACGCCATATAAAAGTTCCTGTGTGTTAAAGCTCCTCATTCAGTCAACTTTATTCTTCTAAATGTGTTTCCAATGGCTGACGGGGGTAAGTCTGCTTTTTCTTCATCTTTATGATTGCATATTTATGGGAGATAGATAGCTTCATTTGAGATCTTGACCCCTGCTGCCTGAGCACCCCTAGAAAAGTTCTTGGGGTCTGTATGGTTTATTCCTATGGCACAGGCTTTATTACACTCTCCCTTGGACCACTGGGAAGCAAAGTAAAGTCAGGTCACTGGAGTATGAGCTCGAGCAGGCTGAAAACCCAGCTGAGTCTCTAGCGGGATCAGCAGAGGATAACTGGCAGAGTCTTTGCAGCTTTCAACATGTTTGAGAGATATTTTTTATATTATTTAATAACAAGCCTACATTGTACTTCCTAGTGGTTACGTAGGAAACCTCCCATGGCTGGGCCGTTCACCTTATCTAAAGCCCACTGGGGACACTACGCAACGGCTGCAAAAATGCAAACGGCAACATCACCTTGCATGGAAATCTTGATCCCCTGCTCTTACAGCACTTTCTAAACAGAAGCAATGATAATCCATGCTGTCTTTTCAGATCATCATGAAGATGAGTGGGGGGAACTGTAGTGGTTATTAGAAGTTAAAAGAATGTATTTCAGATTCTGATTCTCCAGAAAGACAGCCTAGAGTTTAGAAACAGAAAAGCTATCCCAGCAACAGTCAAAATGCTCTTGTATTTGAAGATGAGCTGAACAGTGTTCTGGCATTGCCCCAGGCCCTGGAAACACCTTTCTGACCACACTGTCTGCAGTTTCCCTGCCTGCCAGGGTGCAAACCTGAAGCAAAATGAGGCAGTGAAGTTTTTCTTTTTCCTCTTTCAGATTTTTCACTGTCTCCGAGGGAGATGCTCCCGCCGGAACAGGGGCTACAACAATGACATCCCCTCGCACTACGGAGGATGCCAAGGGTGCTCCTCAAGCATCGAGGGACGGGGCTCCTTCTTCTTTGGTGGGGATGGCTCTGTCACCTGCAGCCGGGAAGCTTCGCCCTGCCCAATCATGCCAGCATCCTCCACCTGCAGTGTTTCAGCGGGGTACAGCTGTGGCGGGGACGGGGCTGTTATCATAAGTAGTGGTGACAGTGGGGGGACGTCCGGCTGGAACACTGCAGGAGGCACAGTCCCAGCCTACAGCACCCGGCGGGGAGCAGGATACGGCATCGAGGACACGGGACGGAGAATGGTTGGCAGCTCAGGGGGTGGTGGAGGATCCAGCTGCTACTCTGGGAATTTGGGCATCGGTGCGGGAAGAGGCTCCAGCTATGGAGGCTATGCATGCCACAGAGAAAATGCTTTAACCGCAGGTGGGAGCAGCGGGGAATTGGGGTTCTCTAGTGGAGCATCGGGCTATGGCAGTGGGGAGTTCTCCAGCCCAGAGCTGAGCTCTGGAGGTGCTGGATCCTCCCAGGCCATGCAGCAGAAGTGCCCCGTGGTCATTCCCGACATTGAGACCCAACAGAGCAAGAAGAGCTGCCACTGGCCCCCCAGCCAGAAGAAATGAAGGACCCAGCAGCCGCCCCTGCCCATGCAGACATGCCCTGGATGTGCCACGCTGAGGCTTTTCCCATGGACCGGGAGCTTTGAATTCCTTACATCAGCCTGCACTTGTAATGCTGTTGGGAGCACCTCTGGGAAAAGGGCTTCATGCTTTGGTGGTTGGTTTGGCTTCCTCCTTTTTCTCATGGCTTGGGAAATAAAGCCTCATTGTCTGAGGGAACTTCAGTATCAGGATGGTTTCTTTAGTTTCTGGCTCCTTCATTCATAGCACAGGCAGATACTCAAAGAGTCTACTTGAAGATTTACTTTCCCCTACATATGACATATGTTTCACAAGAAGACCTAAATGTAATTTAACTTTAGTACAAGTAAAATGCACAGATTTCACCAGCAGGAGAAGCTGCTCCATGTGGCTCTTGGAGATGCTGGAGCTCCCCCCGATGCTTTCTCCACCAAGAGGAACTGCTCTGCCCTGCTGAGCCTCGGCAGGGGAGCGCAGGCCAGACCCTACAAGCTACGTTAAGCAGATATGCAAAACGCCCAGGTGATTTCCACCTGATTATTATTTACAGCGTGACCTTGGGAGTGCAAGGCTGTTTACTTGGAAACAATTACACGGCAGGCTCCCGTCCCAGCGAGATTGCAAGAGATGTCGTAAGCTGGAGCACGTAAACGTTTGCTTGCACCAGCAGCATGAGGCAACTCGAACAAGCTGGTTTCCTTCCTTGCAGCAACCTGCTTCATGACATTTTTTGATAGGATCAGGCCCTAAATTACGTGGAGGTAGAAGATGGTTCCTCTGTGCTGATGGGGCAGTGCGGGGGAGGCTCAAACGCCAGGTCCTCCTTCTGACTTGATATGTGCCAAAAGTTACGAGTTTCAGGATTGTTCTCTGGGTTTTTGGACTCCTCCAAATGTTGGTAACAGAGAAAAAAACACCCGTAGATCTGTGCTCACTTAAATTTACAATTCTGCTGTAAAATATTTTTTACCATTGCTTCTTTCACTCACCTGGGAGGATTTTGAACCTTTCGCCTCCATAAATAACCAGAAAACTTTGCCCTGATGTTCATAAAACACCACGCCTTACAAAAACCCAAATCCCCTGAGCTCCAGCCCTCTGTTCAGTGCCATGACAGGTATTTTCTTGCTGTAAAATGTTGTAAGACTGGAGACCTGTAGTGCAGGGAACATTACACAACATTTTGTCACCAGCCATAATAAATTCCGTTCTAAAATTAGTCATCCTTATCATTTATTTGCATCTACTTATATTTCTAAAATCTACCTCTTCATTATTGATTTCTATTATTTTCCCTGCTTCACCTTGTAGGATCATAGGTAGTGAAGAACTCAGAAAGCTCAAACAACTTCTGAGAGACTTCCAGAAGACCCAGTAAAACCTGGAGTAATAAAAAACTTTTTGGATATTCAACTAACTGACAAAAACAAAAACAAAACAGAAAAAAAAGAAGAAAAAAAAAAAAATTCCACTAACACCACCCCCCAAAAAATGAAATAATTGAAATGTAGACCTGTTATTCACTGTCCCACCCAGCTCATTCTTAGAGGCTCATCTCAACAAGCACAGCACGAGCTTAGGCGCTAACCAGGCTAGATGATATAATAATAAAGCAGACCCAGCAGAGGAGGATGCTTTTGCACACAGAGTTTGAGCACAATGCTGCTGGGCCTGGGGCTACATCCCTTTGGACCCCTCCATCCCTGGGGCTGCTGCTCTTCGCATGCCAACATGCAGGGCTTATCCCTCCAGCACAAAGCTGGGTGATGCAGGGGCTGGGTGTAAGAGCAGGCATGCACACTCGTGCGTTTGCACTTGCACGTTTCCTCTCCACTCTAATCACAATGAGGGAAGAGAGATTTGCTTTTCCTGGCTGCAGGTCTGCGATAGCATCCCAGAGCGTGTTGGCGCCTGCCAAAGCCCCTCTGCGTCTGTTTGTAAACAGGCACAGCAAATGGTAAACATGGATCTGGCATCTTGATGAAAGCCATGGACTGATGCCTCTGGATAGAAACTAAAGACATTTCTTTACAGATAGCATGTGGGAGGCAGCCCTCTGCTTCAGAAGCTCCGTCGATCTCTGCCCACCAAAACCTCACAACTCCTGCGTCTGCAGAAGGAGCTAAGATGCAAAATGAGCAAAAACACTGAGTGAGCACTGCAGGAATGGCACAGTCTAATGGGAGAAAAAAGGAGAAATCAGGGCTGTTGCAGCTCAGCCCTGGGCCAGGAGCTGAGTAATTATCTGTGACATACAAAGCGGAGGTTGCACAGACGATTGCAGCGGAGCCGGGCATGCAGCAGCCTGCTGCTTTGCACCGCGGGGGGAGCTCAAGCCGGGCATCAGGTGCAGGGTCATGGTCCCTGCCCTCTGTGCTTTCCTCACAGCTTACTCACAAGCAAGGTTTGCCCCATCGGCAGCTGTAGGCGTGTGTTTCCTGTCACAGACAGTGGCCACTTCAGGTAAAGGTGACCAAAAAAAAAAAAAAAATTCGAAAAACGGTCATTTAAAAGTGCGATTTTCTTTGATGTTTTTCAGCGTTGGCCAGGAAAAATGTCAGCAATGAATACTAGTGGTAAATGTGTCGATGCCAGTGTAATGGCTATAAACATCAGACTTGAAGGGAGAAAGACAAGTAGAGAAACTACACGGCATGTTGGGGGAATTCACAGGTACAAGGCAAGGCTTCCAAAAGTGGCCAGCATTTTTTCTGCCCAGCTCTGATGGAGCACTTTCCAGTTGTAGCTCTCAGTGCACTCCCCATGCCCCCATCTTCATTAACCATGTTTTATTGCTACAGCAAATGACACAGGCTGAGAGAGAGGGAGTCAAGATGGGGCCCTTGGCTGCTGACCCACACCGCTTGCTGGCACCTCCAGATGTCATACAGGTGAAGGCACCTTTAGAGATGCTTATAGAGGATGTGTGGTGGGGACTTTCTAATAGCTTGCCATTACTTATGGCTGGATAGTGGTGGCTCTTGTCCACCATGCACGACCCTGCCAAAGCACTGAGAGGACCTCTCCTCCCCGCCAGACTTAGGGCAAGAGGTTTCAGCAGGGCAGAAACCCAAAAAACGCCACCTTTGCCATCCATTTTGCAATATAAAACTCATCCGGGCATGACGGTGAGACAGCCAAGCCACCCACACGGTTTTCACTCTTCGTGCATTACAACCCGTGTGGGGCAGGGTGGCAATTAAAGCTGTGTAACACAAGGAAGACAATCTACTATATGACAAGTCAATCAAAGGAACCAGGCTGAATAAGCTTTTGAAGGTGGTAGATAATTAGAGGTGGGGCTGTTTTGTAAATACGTTGGTCATTTTTCCCCAGGGGTTATTGCATTTTCAGGAAGAGAGCTAGGAACCGTATAAAAGTTCTCGGATGGGAGAGCAGCTCATTCACTCAGCTCCACTCTCTCTTCACAGACTTCCCAGCCAAGGTAAGTTGTTGCTGCATGGCTAACATTGCATTCCTAGGAAAATCTGCTAAAATTAGATGAGATATGTTCTTACAGAGACGGCTTGGTCTGCAGGTGCTGGGATTATGGCCAGCCAAGTTCTGCCTCCCTGGCAGGGGCAATTTGCTCCATCAAAACTGGTCTCCAGACTGCTGATGCTAAGTAGCAGAAATATCAGATGTGAATGTATTTGGGTTGCTTCAGTGTTCATGATTTCTAGTATTTGAAGGACAAACTGGAAACAAAAGAGTAAAGAAGGGGATGTGGAATGAATGAGAGATGGCAGGCTGATTTTTCAGAAGAAACCTTCAGGTTCAGCCAGGGACTCTAATTGCTCTTATGAACCTGATTCCTTTACCTAACTGTTTTAGAATATGTAAATCTTCAGGAGCCGTAGGTATTTAGCTGTCATTATAGACATTTAGGAAATAACTGAGAAGGCAGATTTAACTTATGAGAGGAAGTAGCCTGAAGAGCCTATGGATCTTCCGAACTGCTGAAACATCAGCTCCAGGGGCTCAGTTCCCCTGAAGGGGGTCAGATGTGCCCACCAGATATTCCTCATGCTCTAGGAAGTCAGGCAGCAGTGAGCTGTGGGTGTGCAGGGAGCAGAGGGTGAGGAGGCCAGAAGGAGGGAGGAATGCATAGGAGTTTCTTCATTTTGGGAAACTGGCTTTGAAAGTGTATTTTGCTGCTGCTCCAATACCAGCAGTCCCAGCTGAAAATTCATTGACTGTGCCTGGGAGCCCAATTTCTCAGACCCTTGTGCCCCAGCATAGACTGACAGTGGGCAGTGCATTCGCTCCTCCCTTGCACAGCTTCTCCCAGGACATTTTGCACGAGTGCTCATGGGATGCATCAAGGGAGAACAGGGAAATGGAATGTGGAGCCAGGCAGAAATGGAGACTGGGGCCGTGGTGAGGGCATTTTTCTGGTGCCAAAGATGTGGGAACGAAGCCCCAAGGTGGGCAAGCAGGATGGGTGGGTGGGCAAACCCTGCCTAGCCCAAGCAATCTCGTAAACACACCGAGGAAATCTGAATGCAAAGCAGGGTGTGGAAAGCTTCGTGCATCTAACTACGAGGGTTTTCTCCTCCCCAGGCTCCTCGCACCAATCAAAAAATGTGCTCCCGTGGAGACAGAGGCTGCCACAGCAATGAGAGCTCCTCCTGCCACAGCGGCAGCTCTTCCTGCCATGGCTCCGAGGAGGTCGTCTGCCACGAAGTGAGCGCCGTGCAGGACGTGACACCAGTGGTGGTCCTGCAGCCCCAGGGCCCCGTGGTCACTGTGCCCGGGCAGGGTCCGGTGGCACCCGTCCCCTGCCAGCAGCAGCAGCAGCAGATCAAGCAGCCAGTGCAGTGGCCCCCACAGCAACAAAAGTGAAGGGTCGAAGATGCAGCGACGGTCAGCCGGCTGCGGGGCTGCGCTCTCCCCTCGCCTCCGCAGGGTGCAGCCCTGAGCTTGGGCAGGTCCTGCCCCTTCCCTCCAGCGCAATGTGCCTCTCCTGCTCCTGCGACGTGGTGTTAGCACGTCCGAAATGTGATTTGCCCTCTTGCGAGCAAGTATTTGAATCCATTAATTTCCTGCTTCTGTCTCCAGTAGCAAAGATGTGATATATATTAAAAC